CCTGAGAGGGTGATTTCTCACTTTCACTCTCTGTCACTGCCAGGCAAGTGCACATGCCCTATGGCAAAAACCTACCAAAAAAAAGATAATAAAACAAAACTAAAAACAATGTCTCTTTCCAAGAAGAAAGGTATTTCCTTCAGATGCCCCAGGCATGGATTAGAGGAGATTCCAGAAAGAATACGTTCCGTCATCTATCCTCTACTCTGCTGTTGATCTTGTCTAGTGACCCTGTCTCCATTGCCTTCCTTTTCCTGCATTCTACCCTCCGTACCATGAGCAAATCTCTGCAGGTGATGGCATCCCCTTTGAGAACTTTCTTTTTTTTTTTTTTTTCCCCTCTGAATTTCTTTGGTTTTTTAAAACTATATATAATGAGTTCATTGAACACCATCCCTCCTTTTCTGTTTCAAGACATTCCAGGGTGCTGTTGAAAAAGGAGCTGTGGGGGGAAACTGGAAATAAACCAGTTGTATCATAGAATCAATCCATCAGAAAGGCCAAAGCCACACAATACGCTATTACAAATCATCACTGAGATAAAGTATTCCGTTCTTCTGCCTTAATTTTTTTTTTGAACATGAACTTGAATGAGAATGGAAAGGGCACTACAAGAATAATTTCTCCTAACAAAGAGTGTGAGAGGGGAGAAAGACCCGGTGATGTGTCCCATTCTGCTGACTATTGAGTCAGTGTTTTTGAGATCTTTGGAGTCCCAGGCCTCTGATATTCTTCCTCTCTCCTCTCAAAGACTGTGGAGAGCTTCAGTCATATTATTTCATGAATAGAAGCTATAGAATTTTAGCAAAGCACAACATGAATCCTAGCATCAAATGTGAGAGAAAAGAAAGGAAAGTACCTGAATATTAATAGCTTCCTATAAAAAGACAGGGTTCTTTCTTTCTGGCTGGTAACCTATAAAATTAAGTTCTGATTTCTTCCTCTTCCGTATTTGGAGGGCTTGCTGAAAGCAGAAAGCCAGTCTTCAAAACCTTTTATTGTTATTGATACTGTTTTGGGGGATTTTTTTGGTTATTGTTGTTTTCCTTCTATACCAGAAAAGCTTGTGTCATTCATTAATGCAAGAGCTTAAGAGATCCCTGTTATGAGAAAGTGGATTACTTTCTGGTCTCCAGGAGTACTGTCTAGATAAAACACAGGAGAAACAAATGGAAATCATGTCTTCAGCCACACACAGATTCAGCGATGGACTCGGTTGGTTGTGACCAAGATAACATTGCTCATAGACCGAGGCCTATTTTCAAAGCGGGCTCCACTCAGCAATTTGAAAAATATAAAACATTTATCATGATGGAGAAATTTATTAGGAGAATTAACTGTGGTGTGTTAGGCAAGACGTTTATATGGATAATAAAGACATTTCCTCTGGCTAGGCTTGCGATATTATCACATAAAATAATAATCAAAATAAAATCTGGGGGCCAAACCCCCAGCACAGCGATTAAGTGTTTTGTAGAGGAACCAGACCCCACATGGCCAGCTGCAGCTGGAATTCCATCCCTGGAGGCTTGAAAAACATGCCAGGCCTATATGTGCATGCCTAAAATTCTGATGGGTTGGGAAAATGAAGGAAAAAGAAGCGTAGTGTGGCCATGGCCATTAGAGGCCACTCTTTCTCTAGCACATATATGTGCCCTCTGGCACTGAAAAAGATTTATTAATTAAATGAAATTTTTTGAAGTATAAAAAATCATTACCTTATATCAAGCATCTCTTATATAAAGGCACAGAGCTAAGTAATTCGTATACGTCATTTAATCCTCACTCTGATTCTATTGTAAAGATATTGGCGGGATCAACAAGTTGCATGGTAGTTAAGGCGCTGGACTCCCACAGGGCCAACTGTGATTCAGATCTTAGACCCAACAGTTTGAAAGTCATTCCGGGGGCGTCCGTGTGAGTGCCCAAAATCTCAAGAGGAGCATGGAGGAGAAGGGATTGTGGTGTTGCCATAACCCCTGGGGAGTGATTTCTTTCTGTCTTTGTTGTGAGTGGACACACTCTAGAGCAAAAAGACTCTCAAAAAAAGAAAAAAAAAAAACAAAAAAAGTATGAGACTGAATAACTTGTTAAGGTTATACGTGTAGCAAGTGGAGGACATGGAATGTAACCCCATATTAGGGATTCCGAAGCAATGTTCTAGTTTAATCAGGCGAGTGACTGGGACAGGTGACTTCCTG